TTCCACGGCGCCGGTACCGAGAGGCAGCCCTCTTCCCTCAGAGCCATGGCGCGCACGAAGCAGACGGCGCGTAAGTCGACGGGCGGGAAGGCGCCCCGCAAGCAGCTGGCCACCAAGGCGGCCCGCAAGAGCGCGCCGGCCACGGGCGGCGTGAAGAAGCCGCACCGCTACCGGCCCGGCACGGTGGCGCTGCGCGAGATCCGGCGCTACCAGAAGTCGACGGAGCTGCTGATCCGCAAGCTGCCCTTCCAGCGCCTGGTGCGCGAGATCGCGCAGGACTTCAAGACCGACCTGCGCTTCCAGAGCTCGGCCGTGATGGCGCTGCAGGAGGCGAGCGAGGCCTACCTGGTGGGGCTCTTCGAGGACACCAACCTCTGCGCCATCCACGCCAAGCGCGTCACCATCATGCCCAAGGACATCCAGCTGGCCCGCCGCATCCGCGGCGAGCGCGCTTAAGCTTCTAGCAAACGGATCTTTCAGACTATCGAAAACCCAAAGGCTCTTTTAAGAGCCGCCACATGGCCACTGAAGAGAGCTGTAAACTCTTGGTTCTGTGTAGGTTAGGAAGCGATGCTTCCCTGTGCTTTTCGGGTAGCTTTACAGCGACCAAGAACCTGTATCTCTTAAAGTAAGTACCAAACAAAATGTGTTGAGTCATGTTTCGACGGGGTTGAAAAGGATCCTGACCGTAGCAAAACAGCACGGTGTGGTAAACTCTTGCTGAGGTGGTCGTGCTAGGACAAAAATCCGTTTAGGGTGAAAAATTGTTTATACGTTTTTTCAGAGAACTTGCTGTTTAGGTGTTAAGGAAAAACTCGTAATCTTGGGCTTTCCCCTTCTGAAGGAGAAGGAAGATCCAGCTCTAAAAGACTTGTGTATGTACACTTTTTTTCTGTTTGGCTGTGTGTCTTAAAAGCATTCGTACAAACTCGTTGAATTCGTAAAGGTGACTCTTTACAGAACTCCGCTTTCTCGATTAGAGAAGGTGGATTCAGAGGTAAGTATATTGTAAACGCCTCTTGTTGTGCTGCGTTTACTTAACGTTCTTATAGTAACATCATTACGGTTTATTGTCCCAACAGGAAAATTGTTTTCCTTTCCAGATCCTTTTTTTTTGGGGGGGGAGGGGGGTGTGTGTGGGGTGTGTGTGCTTCTGAAGGCGCAAGAATCCTTTCCCGCCCTTCCAGGAAAGGCGCTCCGTCGGTAGTTTTCTCAGTGCTTTATCACTCGTGGTCTGATTGTCCCTGTCGTGAGCGACGTCCCCCGGGCATCTTCAGCCTTTCTCAAGCGCTTCTAGTTTATTCCCGAGATGATAAATGTTGTGTTTCCAGAGAGAGCCGCGGGTAGGGCGGTGGCAAGGGTAACTTCTGCGACTCCCGCTTTCAAAGAGGTGTGCTTTCTGCGGGTGTCTTCTCTGGGACACACTCGCGGCGTCCTCGATGGTTCTGGGTATCCCGTCTGAATGATTAGAGACGCCCATTTGGATAAGTTTTCTTTATCGGTGTTTAGGGTCCCGGAAATATTTGCTGAACTGAGCACAGGGGAAGTGTTTTCCAAGGAGTATTAGCGATTAAAAACTTAACATCGAGATCAGAATTATTGTTAAGCGGAGGCTCTTCCCTATCCGTCACATTCGGTGACTTTTGTTAACCTACCTGGAAAACGGGTTTTCTCCCTGACTGAGAGTTCAGCTGCACAGCGCCTTGCCCTCCTATTTAATAGACCTGTAGTTAGCGCCTGAAAGATGTAGATTTCCAAAACTATCTCTGACTTTCCGTCGCCTTTCAGTTTTTTTGTATATGCTGCAGGCCGTTTTATGTAATTTGGGGAGCTTGCTGTTCCATTGAAATATTGGAAATAAAGTCTTTGGTTTTTCAGTGCTACAAATCAGTAGCTGTGCCTTTAAGAAGCGGTTGGACTGAGTTGAATACAGCTTTCATTTAAACTTAGAAAAAAGGAGTCAGGGAGAATTGCTTAGAGGAAATATTTCTTTTGGAAAGCCTAAAACTGCAAGACTCTTGCTTCTCTGTTAATTGCTGATATGCTTCATCTTAGGGAAATGTTCCTTTCTCTGTGTCAGGAACTTGGACTCTGCAGCAAAATCTGACCAATCAAGTGCCTCGACACACCATTTTCTTTCCCTTGTTTTTCTTACTTTCAGCCATTTTCTGTTACTTAACCTCGGAGGGGGAAAAGGGAGGGGGGGAAGGTATCGGGAATAGTATTTTGGGAATTAAGATATCCTATGTGACTTATTCCCCCCCCGTTTGTTCATTGACATAGGATTTGTGTTTTTCAGAACAGATTTTTTTCAGTAGATGACTATCAGTGTGATTGCAGAAATGACTCTTGGTGAAAGCAAACTCATTTCCTGTTACTGTGTGATATCGAGAGATCTATTTATTTATGTTTATATATGTTTATAATAAAATTATTAATAATTAAGTGAAATAGCTGGTTTTAATACTTCAGAAAGTGGATGTTTAATATCTTATATAAGTCACAGGTCAGAATTTCAGCAGAAGTTTGGGTTAAAAATGATGCTTTTTTGCATGTTCAAGAAATAAATTATTTTTGAGGAATGAGAAAGGGAAACAGTTTTTATTGGTCTTAATCTCTATAATTTTTCTTCTACTCTTTTGAAGACCTTGGCCTGTTTTAATAAATGTAGTATTACTTGGACTCGGAATTCTGAGAGTTGCGTGCTTGAATCATAAAAAGCACTAACACTCCATCAGCTGAGAAGGAAACAGACATGTAAGGGCTTTTGCGGGAAGGGTGAGCTTATATGAACCCTAAATTATAATGCCTAAGTCTGAAGTAGTTTTGGGGTAAAATACATTATGAAAGGACACTAATAATAACCTACCATAGCTTGTCCTAGTGGATCAGGCTAGCGATTAGGAAGAATTTCCTGTGTGGATTTTGAAGTCTGTAACAGCTGCAGATGGTTGTAGTAGTGATACAGGGAACAGTGGTAGATTGATTATAGCTTATATAGTGGGCTTTCTCTTCCCTCCTTATACAAGCGATAAATCCTATCTGGAACTCTATCAGTTTGCATACGGTGTTGAATCACTTAACTACAAAAGAGCAGCAACAAAAATCCTAAATCAGATGTAGGTCGGGGGAAAAAAAATCCTTTCATAAGGTATGAATAAGAGCTGATATCAAGAATATTTAATTAAGTTGGGGGTTTTGAGCAAAGATAAATTACTTAAGGAATTGATAGAGATCTTGCAGTTGCTATAAAATTCAGAGAAAACCTGAGCATCAGTGAAGTCGTCTACAGAATAGATCCTGGAAGGTATTTGCTAAAACAAAAAACCCAAACCCACCACGAATGAGAAATAAAACTGAATTTGCCATAGACAGTTTATTAGATGTAACATTTCTTTAGTCTAAGACACACACAAGTGACTTAGTGCAAGATTTCCTAACTCAAAGTGGGAGTAAAAGTGTGGAGGCTCCTCTGCTACCAGCAAGGTCCAGCAGCATTTCTGTGCTTTTTGCAGGAGAGCCTGAGCTAATGAATGCTGCCAGGTAGGAGCCGGCTGTGCGCAAGACCAGTGTGCTGACTAGCTGAGGGCTGGTTTGCAAACTGCTGGTGCTTAGCCCTGTGTGGCTGTTGGCAATCACGTAAGGTGCTTTTGCAGGTGACTTTAGATGCTCAGTGAGATATTTTTGGCTAAGATTGTTTCTGGCTGTTTAGCCGTCCTCCATGAGTGATCTGGCACTGTTTGTACAATTTGGCTCAAATCACTGCTTGAAAGAATGTACTTCCTATCAGTCCAAGGGGTAAGATAGAGCCTAACTACCGAGGTTCTAGTGAAATACTTCCTTTCATGAGAAACATATAACAGAAGGTCTGATGAAAGCATCTTTCTAGAACAAAAAAATTTGAATCGGCCCTACTTGACACTTATTAGTTTCTGAACAGGTATATCCATATAAAAAAAAAAACCAACAGGTGAGGCTTTCATTTGAATTAACTATTGCAATGTAAAAACTTTGTAAACGTGATATGGTGGCTTCCATGCAAGCCAGTATGTAAAGGTAAATCCTAAACATCCTATCACATTCTTCTCACTTGCAAATCCCTCTTCAGTGCTGCCTCACAAGTGAATCACCTGTTGATTACAGTCTTCAGTAGTCACAAACAGTGAAGTCTGAGCTCAGCCAGCCTCAGCTCTCCTACCAGCCTGGGTAGTACTGCCTTGCTGCATCCTTTCTTCTCTCCCACTTTCAAGTCATGTTGTATCTTCATCTGGGTATAAGCGTCTTTCAGGCTGTAAGTGTACAAACATCACTGTTGCAACAGTATGAACATTTACAGAGTTCATATCATATATAGGTGAGCTTTAGGAAGTACTGTTTGTCAGCTACTATGAAGTGATATTCAAATGGGAAGCTCTATTCTTGGCAAAGCTGTTACTGAAGTAAAAATGACTAATAACAAAAAGGCAACCTACTCAAGGAACATAATATATAAAACAATGCAAACCAAAACCAAATTTGATAAAACCAGCTGGTCGTTGAAAACTGTAACCTCAATTTGATACCTTGGCTTTGAAAGGCAAACTCTTCTAACTATAAAATGGTGTTAGTGTTCTGTATATTGTAAAAGATGCGTTGCCCTAGAAGTTCTAACACAGGGTCCAACAAGCATTTCCATGCCTTTTAAAAAGTTAGGAAAATATAGCATGGTATAGACCACAAAGAACTGTAGCAGGTACTGCTTGCCAGCACATAAAGTTTTTTGTAATGTGAAAGTCCAGGAGATGAGACATTCCTAGCCTCTTTAATATCTCTTATCCACGGACAGTTATTGCTTATAGAACAGCACTGTGGGAAAGTCCCTAAGCATCCAGGTTGCAGTCTGCAACGTGAAAACTCTCACCTCCCACTGTAGCAGTGTCCTAATGTCCTAGGTGACAGTAGAGAGCTGCAGTGTGCAGCAGTATTAAAAAGGATGTCTTCCTGATTTTTGGTGAATGCTTCACTCTTCTGTAGCTGCTAAACTCTGAAGCTTTAACCTCTCTCAGAAAAGAGTGGTGGCCTTTACCACTCCAGTGAGTACTCATACAACATTAGTAACTGAAACAGTGAGATGTGAAAAAATTCACATTTGTCCAGAAATGTGGAAAAAAACCCAACCCTAAAAAACAACAAAACCCCAAACAAACCATACATATTCCCAGAACTCTGGAAATAGGTAGTATATACAAGCACCAGAAATAAGAGCAGAATACTTGTAAGTATGGAGGGTGTCAATTACACCTAGATAGTAGGTAATCAAGATCCTGAAATATCTACCTGCAGCTTGTGTGGGACACCCAGGCTGCGAAAACAAAGCACAGCATAAAACAGGGGACAGTATAAACTAGAGCAATGGAGAGAAGTTGAGAGGAAGATAACGATCAGTCCTGCACAAATAAGGCATTCAGCTAGGGAGACAACAGTTGGTGAGTAAATTCTAATGGTCACAGAAGTGGTAGAGGTTGGAGACGCAGAAGAATAGAATTGCTGTTAACTTCTTTGAATGGCCTCTTGTACAGTTTAGATGAGCACGTTGTAGCCTCCTCCCTGGAAACCAG